TTCTTCTAACGAGTGTACCTTACCAAAAAACAACTTATTTCCATTGAGTCTACTCAACTCATAGTGACCCCTCCTTGGGTTTCTGAGGAAGTATCTCTAGGAGAGTAGATTGCCCAGTCTTCCTCCCAGGGAGTGGCTGGTAGGTTTGAACAGCCAGCCTTCTGGTTAGCAGTCAGGTGCCTTGGGTACTATGCTACCGGAGCTCCTAGCTACCTGGTATAAATGTTTACCTTACGTGTCTGTCTGTTGTTTGGCTGAAAGCCACAAGAGTAAGTTGAGTTACAGAACTGAAGGATGATTAGGGGCTGTAGTCTCAGAAATTTCTCTTATCAGACCAGTAAGCCTGATCTTTTTTATAATTTTGAGTTTTGTTCCATATTTTTCTCCCGTTATATCTAGGATCTCCTATTTTGATCCCTTTTTGAGTGATTGACAGTGGTAGCCAGGCACCATCTAGTTCTTCTGGTCTCATGGTCATATCGCCAAGGTTTGTGTGGTTTACTGGTCCCTTAGACTAATTGTTTCCATGTGTCTTTGATTTTCTTCATTCTTCTTTGCTCCGGACAAGGAGAGACCCATTGTTGCATCTAGATGGCTGCTTGTAAGTTTATAAGACCCTAGTCGCCACTCACCAAGGTAGGATGTAGAGCAGTGTTTTTAATGTTATGCAAATTGAGCTTAATGTCTCCTGTGACCATAGTCCAAAGCCCACAGGTCCAACTACTTGTTCCTCAGGGTGGTTGGCTATGGCTAAGAAGTTATAACTTTGCCTCCTGTTTAGTTCTATTTATGTGGACATTCTTATACCACATATAAATATGCGTGTAGAAATAACATTTGCTATCCTTGTATATGGTCATGAATATATTCCCTTTTGTCTAGACATATGATCATTCAGCCTGTCTACTTATGTATCCACCCATAGATTAATGTTTGTTATTACTGATAATGCAATAATATATATGTAAAAGTGTTTATCTTTGTTGTCTGTACCTCTTGTGCACCTCTGTGTCTTCTGTACTCATTCTATTTAAAAACAATAGAAAAATCTATATTTATGTTATATAGAGAGAGAAGTAGAAAGAGAAAGAAATAGTCACTGGGTGGTGCAAATGGTAAAGCACTCGACTACTAGCCAAAAGGTCAGTGGTTTGAACCCATCCAGAAGTGCCTTGGAAGATAGGCCTGGTGATTTGCTTCCAAAAGTTCACAGCCTTAAAAATCCTTGTGGAACAGTTCTGTTTTGCTCATGTGGGGTTGCCATGAGTCAGAATCAACTCCACTGCAACTAATAAGAGAGAGAGATGTATACATGTGTAGTCTGTTTTCTTCCTTGTACAGTGAGGATCTAGTTCTGGCACTAACAAAATTAGCATAGATATTGTGAAATTTTCCTAGTTATTAAAAATTATTGTTTAAACTTTGATATTTCTTTGCTTCTCTCCTAGCATTCAGATGATTTTCAGTCTTTTAAGTAAATGGTAATTTGTGTTATTTGTGCATTGTTATGGCTCTGAATACATACATGATCACTTTTCTCTATAGACATTGGCCTCTAGGAAAGCCTTTTTATACATCTTTGTTTTCCTGTTAGCATCTAAGTTCCCTGCTAAAAGTATCTCTTCCCCTTGGCGGTGCCTCTTAATGTATGTATCCCTCTTCTGTCATTTATTATTTAGTTGTATAAAATGCTTGAATTTTGTCCTGAAGAATAGATCCAGAAGCAGACGACAGACTGAGTGCCATGCCCAGACACATATCTACTTGTAAAATAGTACAGTTACAAATGAGCTATTAGTTAAATTCAGGTAAATGGCAGCATCATAATTCAAGAAGATTTCATTTTTTGTCTCAGTCTGTTTATACCATAGAGAAATGTGTTGCTTTTTGTTTTTGAGATGGCATCAGTTTGATCCCTTATAATTAGACTTTTTTAAAATATCAGGTAGAAATAAGAATGGGTTCTTTATTTGTAGCAATTAAAACAGGAGTGGGAATGAAGGAGAAATTTTTTTTTAAAGGATGTTAGCTGGAATTTTATTTTTTAATGGGGAGACAGATTATCATTGTTAATTTCTTTTTTTAAGAAAAGTAAAGCACTTTAATTTTAAAATGAAATTTTACATAAAGCAAAACTTACAGAAATGATGTGGCATAAGAAACTGCGGGAATGGTTTAAGAATAATTATGAGTGTTTAAAAAAGAGGGCCACCTTTCCTCTATTGTGAATCTCCTTTTGGTGAAAATGGCAAAACAAAAGCTAACAAACAAATGAAAAGGAAGCAGAAAATCCTACTCAATGACTATAGATTTTAATATTTAAAAGCCATGAAAATGCTCACTTTTGTTACATTTTGATGCCTCTCTTCAAGTTTTATTCTTGTTGTTATTGTTGTTGCTGTTTTTTAGATTTTTGTTTGTTTTGATTTTCAGAAGATCATGATTTTTATCTCTGTTTCCTAGTAGACAAAAACAAAAGCAAGCTCACTGCCAATTCTGACTCACAGCGACCCCTCCTTGAGTTTCCAAGGCAGTCTCTCTACGGAAGTAGATTGCCCAGTCTTCCTTCCGAGGAATGGCTGATGGGTTTGAACCGCCAGCCTTCTGGTTAGCAGTCAAATGCCTTAGGCACTATGCAACCAGAGCTCCCATATCCTAGTAATGATGTCATTAAATACAGTTTGAAAGCCATATATTGTGATATAATTTTGCAAAGCCAAGTTAAAATTTGAATTGTGTGGTTTGAAGGAAACCATTCCAGAATTTATTAAACCACTTTCTGTAACAGTCCTATCCCATTCCTCAGTTAGGACCTTTTTCCTCCACTAATAGAAAAGTGAGAAAATTTAGCTCCAAATCATAAAACCAAGATAAAGGAAAGAAATACTTCCTGGTTCTTGTGTTATTTCTGCCCCAGCCCTTGTAGTTTACTTCCTGATTGAAAATATGTTGAGGACCTTGTTGAAATAAAAGTCTCATTTCATTATTATATTAGGAAAGCAGGTTCTTGGACTAGGAAGTGAAATTATCTCCAGCACAACAGTCGTTAGGAATTTTTCCAGAGATGAACTGCTTTCTGAAAATGCTCAGATAGAGTTTTCAGCCATAATGGCCTTCGTCTTTGCATTTATTTATTTTTATTTATTTTTTGCATTATGTTGTAGTTCCAGAAAATGCTAAAAAAACATGTATTTAAAACAAACAAACCAGAAAGCTCCCCTTGTCCTGAGGCTGTGTGAAGAAGAATGAAGTTCTCATTTTCCCAGTACCCAATCATCAGCTTGAGCTGGTCTCTCCAAGGAACAGAATTTATTGAAACAATTTATCCTGGTTAAATGTGATATAAATCTGTGTACACGTATGTACATACAGGCTCTTTTCCATTATAACAGTGCTGCAGCATCAGTTTCCTTCATAGTTAGCCCCTGTTCCTATCACATTGAAAGATGACCAAGAAGTCCTTTCTATTTTATGGGACACCCCCAATTTTAAACAACAATTAGTTGTGGAATTACTGATCAGACAACCAGAAATACTGGTTTCCAACCCTGAGTGAGTCTTAAGAGAATAGGAGAGATGTTACCTAGCCAACCTCTGAGTTTTAAGCATAGTTTTCCAATTTCCAGATTCAGTCTAGCACTTTAACATTTTATTTCAATGAGGGCCTGACTGAGGTTAACTTGACATTTTGGTTTATCTCCAAGGTGAAAATTTGAAATTTGGTTAACAGTTCTGAGGTTGTTTTCAGGCATATTCAAGTTGTAGTTCTTTCTCTCTCATCTTCCCTTTTTCATATTTTTTCACATACCTTTCTCTCTTGTGGAAAGATATTTGAAATATTCATTAGGAGTTGATTCTGTAAAGGTACTGTTTTCGTTTTACTCCTCTTTTTCTCTTCCATGCTTCCAAAATCCTGTTTATGATTTGGGAATATTTTTAGTATCATTTACATTTCTTATCCTTATCCACCTCCATCTCTATTTTTATTCTTAGTTGAGATATAGGCTATGAGAAATCTCTATGACACACTCAGATTAGAGTTATTGTTCTTTGATGAAGAATTTCAATCAACATTTTAAGAGTTTAACTTCAATAATTAAAAAAAAAAGTTTAAATCCTGTTAAATTCTTCAGTGAAATAAAGAGGATGGATGGCGATGCCTTTTAGTGCCATTTCTTTTATCCCCTGCAGCAGCACACATCTGTTGGCTGGAACAGAGCAGCCCAAGATCTCTGGCCGGGAGCAGCACAAACAGCCGGAACATATTCACCCAGTAAACCCCCAAAGAGTCGACATTTGTTTTATTGCTGCTTTTAAAAACCTAGCCATAAATAGAATCAGAGGGGGGAAGGGCACCGATATTTCTCCATTTGCCACAGAAGATTGGTAGGGGGAGAAGGAGGCTCCCAGTGGGGAGGGAAGGTTTTTATTTTTATTTTTTTATTAATGAAAATCATTTCCCGTGTAGCCCAATAAGATGGGTGCTTTGTTTTCTTTGGCAATAATCTGGGATAAACAGCCCTTGCCAACAGTCTCGTAGTTTATACACCAGGGAGCCAGATTATGGCCCTGTAAAATGGAGCACCCCTCCTATAATCCCTTAATTAATTAAATGACAAATTTTGGTCTTCTCTAGTTTAGAAATATGGCTTCCGCATTGAGCGTTCAGTGGATTTATTGACATGGGGAACTGCACTGGTTGTAATTCAGCACACTGGAGAAATGTGTTACATACTGTAGCAAAGAGAGGGAAAGTCTAGCAAAAGGTTTAAAATTCCTTGAATATTTAAGCCTAAATTTTTCTAATTAAAAGTTTCAGTTGAGGCATAGTAGCTCACATGCCACCTGTCTAATGGGTCTCCCCAAAGTAGCCTGTGTTTACAGCTTTAATAAATGGCATTCTTGAGACACCTGTTTCTAAGCTTGATATTTTTGAAGCACTTTTTTTTGGCTCCAGAGTATTTAACATAACTTTTTCCCCCATACCTCCCCCTCCTCAGCTACGCTGTGCTATATGAAATATGGGAGACGACAGACCGTTTGTGTGCAATGCCCCAGGCTGTGGACAGGTACGTTTACAATATACTTTATTGTGAATGTCTCGTTGTGAATCAAAGTGGCTGTTTTATCACTAAGGCAAAGAGTTTAAAGCCGGTATTTTACGTGATCACTGGAGGTAATCAGATCAGAGGATTTGCAGTGTGTAAATCCAAGTTATGAGGAAGTGTAGGCACTCTACCGTAATGAAATCTGCCTTGCTCTCTTCCATATTGTTATTCTGCTGTCGTTTGTTTCCTAACACACAGCGTTGAGGAATACATGTTGCTCTCTCCTTTCTCAAACTGTCCATCTAAATACAAAGCAAGTTTGGAAATAATCATCTCACCCTTAAGGGATATAAAAATCTGCTTAGCATATTTGGAGAGGCAACTAAAAATGCACTTACTCATTGTGAACCCCAATTTGCCAGAGTCTCTTTGGATCTTTTAAATAAGAAAAAGTCATGACTTTTTTTGTTTTGTTTCTTTTGAATGTTTTCATCCAGAAAATGAGTGCTAGCAGCTAAGGCACATATTTATCTAGGAAAGAAAAATCCAATGTAGATCTCGAGATCACAGCATTATGTAAACTGTAAGATTTCTTAGCCATTTTTCCTGTCTGATGCCATTAAATGCATTGTTCTGTATGTCAACTGCCATGTAGTTATGTGCATACATGTATATTATGTGTCAGGTATTTTCATGCTTTTTTTATTAAACTAATTTTGTTGAAACTGCTCCCCTTTTTTCATTTTACACTTTAACTCTTCTTCATAGATTCTCCCCTACTCCCATGTTCCAGAAAAAGATGAAGAAAGGAATACAAAGGAAGTCTTATCTGCCTTCATTAATTCATTTGATAGAATCTGAAGGATTTATTTTCTAGTTAGTTAGGAACATGTCATGTGATTGTCCAGTGACACTTACTGGTGGTGTGTGAGATAGCAGACTAGTTCTATTAAACATTATGAATACTTAGACAAAAAGAAAAAAGAGCCAACTTCCAGAGATTCCAAGGAATTGGAATTTGATAGGTGGATGAGATGTGGGTGGTGACAAGGAATGGGCAGGGAAAGATTCCAAATTCCAGTAAAGGCTGAAAATTTGAGAAAAGACTAAAAAAAGCCATTGTATTTTGCAGTTTTCAGCATCCTAGAGTGTATTTCCTTCCTTGTCAAAATTTTCAACTTTATTATTGATTGCATTTTTTCCCCATGTGGTTTATATTTTTTTAAATAATAGAAGCCAGTTGGGAAAATAGGATAAATTTGTTTCACTTTTCAGACAGTTTTATTGGAGTACATATCTGAACCTGATCTCTCTAAATTTTTGTGTGTGGATTTGATGTTACTGTGACTTCCATTAAGAGCCCTGGTGGTGCAGTGGTTAAGTACTCGGCTGCTAACTGAAAACTTGTCTGTTTGAACCCACCAGCAGCTCTGTGGGAGAAAAGACCTGGTGATCTGCTCTCATAGTAATAATGAAAACTAAAAAAAAAAAAAAGCACTTACTTGAGAACTAGCTTAAGTTGGAATTGTCAGAATGGAACTCCGTTGTAAGTTGGGGACTGCCTGTACTTTCAATGCAAAAACCTGCATTTTGGGTGCAAAGCTTTATTTTTTTTCACATTTACAATTATGTTTCTTCACTTAGTGCTTTAGCAACTCAATGCCTGTCTAAATAAATTGGGAATGAATTAAAAGAATATTGGAAAAAGTATTGATTTAATCTTCTAAGTTTCACACAAAGGAGCCCTAATGGCACAGTGGTTAAGTGCTCAGCTGCTAACCAAAAGGTTGGCAGTTTGAACCCTCCAGCCACTCCATGGGAGAAAGATGTTATAGTCTGCTTTTGTAAAGGTTTACAGCCTTGGAAACCCTATGGGACAGTTCTACTCTGTCCTGTTAGGGTTGCTTTGAGTTAGAATTGACTCTATGACACTAGTGTTTTGTTTTGTTTTGTTTTTAAGTATCATGCAAGTAGCCCTGGTGGTACAGTGTTTAAGCACTGGGTTGATATCTAAAAGGTCAGTGGTTCAAACCCACTCTGCAGGAGAGAGATAATGGCAGTCTGCTTCCATAAAGATTACAGCCTTGGAAACTCTATGGGCAGTTCTCCTCTGTCCTGTGGAGTCACTAGGAGTTGAAATTGATTAGCTAGAAATGAGTATGTATCATACATGAATTACGCAAGATTTTCTATACCTATACCCCTGTTAGCAATTTACTTCCACAGAGATACTGCCTCAAAAACCCAAGGAGGGGTCTCTATGAGTCGGATTCAACTCAATGACAGTGAGTTTGGTGTTTTTGGTTTGGTACCCCTCGGAAGGAAGGTTGGGCAATCCTACTTCCGTAGTGATACTGCCTCGGAAACCCAAGGAGGGGTCGCTATGAGTCGGGGCCGACTCGACGGCACACAACAACAACAACAACAACAACCCCTATTAAGGAGCTCTGGTGGGACTGTGTTAAGGGATTGTGGATAGTTTGAACTTGCCAGCTGCTCTGTGAGAGAAATACAAGGCAGTCTGCTTTGATAAAGATGTACAGCCTTGGAAACCCACTGGGGGTCGCCAAGAGTCTCAGTCAACTCGATGGCAGTGGGTTTGGATTTTTTGGTTTATACTCCTCTTAGGAGCTCTGGTATCACAGTGGTTGTTAAGGCATTTGTCTACTAACCGGAAGGTTGACAGTTCAAACACTCCAGCTGAAAGGTGAGGCAGTCTGCTTCTGTAAAGATTGACAGCTTTGGAAACCCTATGGGAAGGTTCCACTCTGTCCTGTAGGGTTGCTATGAATCGGAATTGACTTGATGGCAGTTGTGTTTTTTTTTAATACCCCTCTTATATGTCTTATATGGTTAAAACCACACAGACAGGGACTTCTCAAAGAAATAAAAATGAGTGATAAAAATAAAACAGTACACAAGAAAAGCATCTCTTAAACCCTTGGAGGAAAAAGATAGGAATAGCATCTCTTAAGGCTATCTCATCAGAAAAGAGTGGTATTCACTTGGATTCTTGAGATCCCGGAAGTAGTTTTTATTGGTTTGTTTTGTGTATTTTTGGACTAGAGGTAAGGAAACAATAGGAACTTTTTACTTTGCTTCTCTCCTGTATTGTTGGGTTCTGTTTACCATAAACCTTTTTCTTCCCTTTCTTCTCCCTCCCATTTCTGAATTGTTTGTTGGTGATTAGGATTCATTATAACCTCTGGGTTAAGTTTGTTCCATGTCAACGGGAAGGTGAGTGTGAAACTCATGGAGGTTAATACTTTTCTCTTTTGGATTCACGTTACTTGTTTTATAGAAAAAGTACAGAAAAGTACAACTTAAAAGAGTTTAGAAGTAGCATGATTCATCCCTTTACTTCCTTTGCATGTCAAAACTTTATGGTCAGGTGAGATGATAGTTCTTTATATTTAGACTTTTCCAGGTTTCTCCCAATATCTGTTAACAAATAACTCCTGAGTGGGATCTCTACAAGGTTTATTGTGATTGCTGTATGTTTTGTGAAATGGTAAAAATCTGGCAGAGAATATAAATTTGGTAAAGTGAACTACCCTTGGCCTGTCATCCAACTTCTTTATATTCCTTGAGATCTTCAAGCTATTCATGATTCACTATCATTGATTCAAATTCTGTATTCCAGAAATGGTAGAATAATAAAAAGGCTATGTGAGTTCTAGGAGGAAAGACATAGAATCATGATAATTTTTGCAAGGCATGATTTAAAACCAGCTGCCGTAAAAATTTCAAAAAGCAGTGGCTTCTACCAAGTAGGGAATGAAAGAATGAAAGCAGATTTTATCAAGAGTCTAAATCTATTTTTTTTCCTGAGTCTAATTCTTAAAACTATAGGACTTGTGCATAATTTCAGTATCTGTTCCCTGCCCAAGTTTTACCCTGTGTATGCTAAATCAGAAAACATCTTAAGTCTTAATATTAAGGGAAGGTGAAAGGAAAATTCACCTAAAATAGACTGGTGGATTATGCTCTCTACCATATAATCAGAACCACTGGGCATTCAATGGATACGTAAACATGTTTTGGTTGCTAGGTCTTTAATGGCTGTTATTTTTGGATTCTGTTCATGATCTACTTCCCAACAGTAAGTCTGAAGTGACACAGCTGAGTTCTAAATATGCTGCATGTACTTTTTTTAAAAGATGGCTGCTGAAGGTTGTGCTGTCTACATTCTTATCTGAAAGGACAGATGATAGGGTTTTTCTAGCCCTCTCATCTCTATTCTCCTGTTGAGACGATCTTTCTCTTGAGGCCTCATCACCTTCATGAGGAGGAACTCTGGGAAAGTAGCAGTCCTGCTAATATCTCTCCGTGGAGTATGGTAGCAAGAGTAGTTAATAGAGTACCTCCTGAGAGTGGGTTAGTGTTAAAGCAAATGGTGCCCCAGATACTCTGTTGGCAGAGGGCTGGTTGAATTTGAATTATGTGGCTTTTTGAAACATTTATAGGATAGCATTTATTTAAAAACATTGTGACTATAAAATGGATTTGCCTCTGTCTTACTGTTAAAATAATAGGAATACAGTTCAGTGCTGAAGCTAGGCAGTTATCTAAGTTTTTAATGCTTTAGGGGACGCTTTTAATTGAAGGTAGATGATAAAGATGTTTTACTGCATATGGAAGCAGGAGTAATTACTATGTCTCTATTAGTGTTCTTGAATTTGAAGTGTTATTTTACGTACATAAAATTGGGTTTTGGTCCTCGGATGGAGCAAGCTGTTTGTGATTGGCTGCTAACCTAAGGGTTGGAGATTCAGACCCACCCAGTGGTGCTGTGGAAGAGAAACCTGGCAATCTACTTCTATAAGGATTATAGTCAAGAAAACCTTATGGAGCAGTTGTACTGTGTGACGCGTGGGGTTGTTGTGAATTGGAATCAACTCAATGGCAATGCGTTTTTTGGATTACAATTAGATAATTTATCTTTGGGATGCTTTTTTTTTTAACCTAGTTTTTATTACCAGGAGTCAGCAGATAGCTTTCTTTTAGTCACATTACACTGA